GTTCATGAATCAGAAAGGCATAATCAACAACTCACCAGAATGTTATCAGGTTTAATATCTGCATGTACAAGACCGCATTTCTTTAGAAGTCGTAGTGCCATTAGAAGCTGATGTGCATAACTTCGGACCGCCTTCATGTGTAATCCAACATTGTTGCCATATTTTTTCAACAACTCGCGTAAGTTCATGCTGCAATTTTCAAATATGAAACCAGATACTGGTGCAATGACAAACACCCTGTGGATTAATGTAAAAGTCAAAAAAAGAGTACTCTGCCATTCTTACAGTAAAAAATAGAGAAAAATCCAGAAAAATTTCGCTGCGATGACAGAGCATGCTTGAAGTGAACAATTGCCAGGCAAACAAGCGCATGTTGGAATTACTTTGCGGGAAGAGACCAAATCAGACCGTGTAAACGCATTGACCGCCGAGGGACGCAGCGCCTGCACACGAATCTACAATATCAGACAGCAAACTGTGAGCATACATGAGAACCTGTGTGACTTCTGAAATATTACTTCATCAGTTGCACTTCTTGCATAAAAGTCATCAATACCGGTATGGAATGGCAGAGACTCGGCACGCAGCCCACCTCAGGTTCTCGAAGCAAAGGCACAGATGATTGTGATGATTGAATGTGCGATAAAGCTGCAGACAATGAAATCTGTCTTCGCGGTCGGCTTCATTCAACTTACGTAAGACTTCTAATTCGCGTAGACCTGTCTTTCGCCTTAAAATTCATTATTGAACATGAAACTTGGTGATGTGAGTAAAACCAGTGGTACACAGAACAACTGAAAGAAAGTAATGGTAGGTTTTCACTCAAAAACGAAATAATTTCATTTAGTGAAAACCAGTGCAGAACGAAAAATAGACATGCAAGCTATGTTTTCAAAAAGACATGCCCAACTTTTGCAATCAAGTTACCCAATTATGAAAAAAAAGTCACTCACATGATCTCGTTGTTTCGTATGATTTTTATCGCGACCACATCGTTTCTCTTTTGATCAGTACACCTGACAACGTTTCCGAAAACTCCAGCACCGGTATAACCAAAAACTCGATAACGGCCATCAAGAACTTCTCCTATTCTCACTCCTGCAAACATGGATGAAGAAGGATTGCTCGTCACAAAAAGGAAACAAAACTAACGATAATATCCCTCTGCATCATCCCAATTGTCCCTGAGCGTATCATTTACTTGTTGTCCTTGTGATTGAACAACAGCTTCATCAGCCACGATGCCATCCTGTAACAAAAAGAAACTGATTAAATCACTTCGTGTCCTACTTTATTACCTGAGGAAGATCTCCATCATCAGCAAACATATCAAACTCTGCTTTTGACTTACTAGTTGGTTTGGGCTCCTCAACGTCCACTTCTACTGGATCAAGCTTAAAAAACACCAATATAACGTACATATGTTAGATGCGCGAGATCCTGCATTTTGAAGACAGCGACTCGGCAAAATTTCGTTTTCTAGTTTTTCACCTTTTCGGGACCTTCTC